AGTACAGTCTGATCTTTTGTTTCGATTCTTCCATATACTGTAACGTGGGGCGATGGTGATTGGTTAGATGAGGTTAGATGGAATCATTCAGAAAATTATCTATTCTTACCATGTAAATTACTGTAACACCTGGTTGATGCACAATGATTTGCAAGAATCATTTCTTTTTTTTACTGGAGGGACACTGTAAATTATGACACACACCAGTATGGTAATTTAGTGGTTTCTAGTTATCAGAACCTGAGTTGAGTATAGTTTACAGTAAATAACAAAAACTGAGTATGATGTTCTACTGACAACATGACTAATAGTTTTGCATGTCACCTTCACATTGCTGAGGAAATGACATGGGATTCTGCTGCCTCTGACACAATGATTGATGAAAAAGCACACTTTTGCACGATAGACAAAGCATTTTGAGCAGGTGACGCTCAAAACGCTTGTTTTAGAATCTGTTGGGGGGAGTATGAAACAAGATGGATTGTTTGTACTCATAGTATTAAAATTGTTCATGTTTCTAAACAGAGGTTTTTGTTTTTTAGGCTCATTCAATGTGAAACCAAATAATGCATGCTACATTAAAGTGTCAAGTCACAGACAATAACAAGTGCCCAAAGTTTAGGGATTCAAAAGTAACTGGTCAGATACTCATAAAGTTAAGCAAAAGCCTCATATTTAACAATTTGTGTACAATTTCTTGAACTCTTTGGTCCATAGCTGTTACCATGTGATGCTCTCCCAGTGCTTTTATTTCATTAATCCATATAATTTGTCTCACAATTTGACCAATTTCTGTTTTACAAACCACAGCCTGACCTTTCTGTTTTCTGAGGCTTACCAGGGGTTTGCAACTTGTGGTAAATCCTCTGAGGTGGTCATGAAATCTTTATTCATTGCAAACATGCACAAGGAAATGTCTCATATGCCTACATCCTGGAGAGCATCCTTGACTTGCTCTGCAGTTATAAAAGTTTTTTTTTCACCATGCTAATGATCCTGTGCAAGTATGTCTTTTTTTTAGAATGAACCCAACTGTTGATTTTAGCAAACCAACTCCCTTTGATAGCTCTCTGATTAGTGTTTGCTTTATTTGTGCTTCAATATTATTTTCTTCCCATGCACCGTCACCTCTTTACTCCTCATATTGACAGACAACTCCACCTCAGTCTAAATGGCTTTTCTCACTCAACCCTGAGCCACTTGTGAACTCTTTTGTGCATGAACTAACACTGAAACAACACACAGTTGCCCAAGAAACATTTAGTAACCAAGTGTTTTGAGCCCTTTCAATTTGGGCACTATGAGGAACAATGGCTATATCTGCCACACACTTCTTTCTATACTGATGTAAACCTGCAAAAATTAAAGCTGAGGCTTGCCACTTTAATGTGAACTTTTTATTTCTTTAAATTCACTTCAGAGAAAATTACCATGGGAAAATTCCAAATTCAAGGGGTTAATCTTACATTTGTAAGTGTAAGTGTAGCTCACTATCTAATTCATACATTTAATTGTTATAGTGTTTATTTAGTCCTTGCCCTTATCCAAAAGGAGTATGTTGGAGATGATAACATGATCCAAACTTCTCACCACTTTTGTTGTTTTGTTTTCTGTGTCTCGTGTTCAGTAGCTTTCACATTATTATTTCATGGCTCAGTAGATTTCTAATGAAAAATATCTTGTTGTTTGACTCACATACTCTGCTTTCACTTCCAAAACATCACTTTTGCTACTGTGTGTATTCAGGTCACAGCAGCTGGAGTTAATCTGAGTTTCACTAAACACTTCACATAAGAAAAACTTTCCTAAAGTGTTTTCACATCTTGCAAAACCATGGAAGACATTAACCTAACTTACCAATTTTAAAAAGGCCTTTAAAGTTCATGCATCAGTCCATCCATCCATCATCTATACTGCTTATTCCTGAACAGGGGCACGGGGGGTTGGAGCCAATCCCAGCTGACATAGGGCGAGAGACGGGCTCCACCCTGGACAGGTCGCCAGTCTGTCACAGGGCTGACATGTGGACAGACAACCACACACACTCAGACTCACTCCTAGGGGAAATTCCTTTCTTTTAATGATTTTGAGATTCTGAGATGCTTCTTCTCGACTTGATTATTGCAATGCTCTATACTATGGTGTTAACCAGTCCTCCCTCACTCGTCTCCAAAGGTGCAAAACGCTGCTGCTCGTCTTTTGACAAGTACCAGAAAATTTGAGCATATAACCTCAGTACTGGCTTCTCTCCACTGGCTTCCAGTCCGTTTTAGAATTGATTTTAAGTTATTGATTTTTGTTTTTAAGGCTCTTAATGGTTTGGCTCTATTTTACCTCATGGAATTAGTGCATTGGCACAAAGCTACAAGGTCCCTCAGAGCTTCAAGCCTGTTGCTTTTAGAGGTTCCCAGGGCCAGATATAAACACTGGGGTGATCTTGCTTTTTGGATCATCCCTAAATTGTGGAATAGTCTACCTTTTAATGTTGGATCAGCTACTGACCTGATTACTTTTAAATCATTGCTTAAAACATATTTACTTGGCTTGGCTTTTAATACACAGTAGGGCCTGATGCATTCCTTTTAATTTTAATCTATTGAATGTGTGTCATCTGTGTGTCCGTGTTATTGTGCTGTTTTATTTTTTGAACTGATCTTATTTATTCAATGTTAGTTATTTATTGTGATTTTATTCTGCCATGTAAAGTACTTTGGTCAGCTGGATGTTGTTTATAAAGTGCTATATAAATACGTTTGATTTGATTTGTTTTAAGCTGTGGGAAGAAGCCGGAGTACCCAGAGAGAACCCACACAGGCACAGGGACAACACGCTCATGTAACAATCCCAAAGGTAAAAAGCGGAAAAGGAAAATCTCTGTAGCGTAGGTGGTTTGAACGGATATGTCTTGTTCAGGCCAGTCTCTGCTTTTCTCCCACAGTTGAGCAAAAAACACTTGTGGAATGTGAAGGACAAAAGCAGCTGGGAAGAGAAGCTGCACTGAGGTTAATTTCTGATTATGCAACAGGAACAATTGCCTCACAGCTGTCTCATTTCTCAGACAATACCCAGACTGTCCATCATTTTTGGCCAGATATAATACAAACCTTAATATTTACATCAATGACATCAGTTCACTGCCTGAAACATCTGATTTAACTTAAGGCACCTGTGATTATCTGTGTGTGTCACATAGCATCCTCATCATTTGAAAGTAACATTTTCCTTCTGCATTTTTCCACACAGACAAACACAGTACAGTAACATAAATACAATTTAGTGCATACAGAGTTTTGTGTAATACACCCTTTGTGTTAGGAGACTGTACACTCAGGAAAAAGTACCGACTCTTGAACATCATTTCACTAACAGAGCAGAAGAAGGTGAGTGGACCTGAAATATAGCCTTTATGCCCATTAAATACGGGCATTACCGCAATATGATGGGGTGAAAACATACTATACAGTAAGTACATTTCACAGTAAACTCTTCTGTGTGTCATCTGTGTGTCCGTGTTATTGTGCTGTTTTATTTTTTGAACTGATCTTATTTATTCAATTTTAGTTATTTATTGTGATTTTATTCTGCCATGTAAAGTACTTTGGTCAGCTGGATGTTGTTTATAAAGTGCTATATAAATACGTTTGATTTGATTTGTTTTAAGCTGTGGGAAGAAGCCGGAGTACCCAGAGAGAACCCACACAGGCACAGGGACAACACGCTCATGTAACAATCCCAAAGGTAAAAAGCGGAAAAGGAAAATCTCTGTAGCGTAGGTGGTTTGAACGGATATGTCTTGTTCAGGCCAGTCTCTGCTTTTCTCCCACAGTTGAGCAAAAAACACTTGTGGAATGTGAAGGACAAAAGCAGCTGGGAAGAGAAGCTGCACTGAGGTTAATTTCTGATTATGCAACAGGAACAATTGCCTCACAGCTGTCTCATTTCTCAGACAATACCCAGACTGTCCATTATTTTTGGCCAGATATAATACAAACCTTAATATTTACATCAATGACATCAGTTCACTGCCTGAAACACCTGATTTAACTTAAGGCACCTGTGATTATCTGTGTGTGTCACATAGCATCCCCATCATTTGAAAGTAACATTTTCCTTCTGCATTTTTCCACACAGACAAACACAGTACAGTAACATAAATACAATTTAGTGCATACAGAGTTTTGTGTAATACACCCTTTGTGTTAGGAGACTGTACACTCAGGAAAAAGTACCGACTCTTGAACATCATTTCACTAACAGAGCAGAAGAAGGTGAGTGGACCTGAAATATAGCCTTTATGCCCATTAAATACGGGCATTACCGCAATATGATGGGGTGAAAACATACTATACAGTAAGTACATTTCACAGTAAACTCTTCCAAATGTCCTAGTGCAAAAAAGTCAATCGGGTGCTTCTGAATGGAGTACCTTGTGTTTTAGCTTTGCCTGAAGCAGAAATCTTCAAATCCCACTACCTCTCAGGTTCTTCACTTTCTTTAAAGGCTGGGTTTTTACAGACCAGAGCGATGCCATTGTTTTTGTTTCGCTGTGTCTGTTGCTGCATCTGTTCATGTGCTTGGCTGCTTGTCGTCTGTTTTCTTCGTGTCAGAACAGAAATCATTCTGAGGCGGTAGTGATCCCCAGCCAGGAAATACAAAATTGGGTCTATGCAGCTGTTGACGCTCGCCAGCGGCCTGGTGATCTTGTAAGTAAAGTTGACGATGTTGAGGAATTCACAACTGAGATTTAATACACGGGAGGTATAGTAGATGGTCCGTGTGATGTGAAATGGGACGAAGGACACAGCAAACACAACCAGAACCACAATGATGAGCCTAATGGACTTCCTATGTGAGCCGGTGCCCTGCTGGCTGGCAGATAGTCCCAGTCTGGGTCGGCACAGGGCTCGCGCCATCAGGCAGTAACACACCATTATGACCATGAACGGGATGCCAAATAGAAGCACCATAACAACAGAGCAGTAGTCCACATACTGATCAAAGGCGTCCTGGCTGGTTGTGTCATGGCACAGAGTGTCATTCTCCCTCGTGGAGGTGGTGACAAACATGAGGTTGGGCACCAGGCACACGATCACCACACCCCACACCAGGCCGCACACCAGGTGGGCATGGCGGGGCTTCACCAGGGTCAGCGCCATGATGGGGTGGCAGATGCCCAGATAACGGTGCACGCTGATGCAGGTGAGGAAGAGGATGCTGCAGTAGAGGTTGGCATAGAAGAGGAAGCGCACTGCCTTGCATGCAGCCACCCCAAACGGCCAATCATTGCGTTTGGCGTAGTAATAGATGAGAGTGGGCAGGGAGAGGACGTAGAGGAAGTCAGACAGGGCCAGGTGGAACATGAGCACTGTACTGGGTTTCCAGGGACGCATCTTTATGAACATCCACAAAGCTGCAGCATTGAGCACAAAGCCAAACACAAAGACCAGACTGTAGGACACAGGCAGTAAGACGTATTTAAACTCCTCATCGAAGCGGCAGCTGGAGTTGAAGACTGGTGTACCGAACGCTGTCGTCTGGTTTTGTGCTCCAGATCTGCTGATGACCGGTTCCATAATGAAGTGAGTTCTCAGTGTTTCAAATCAGTAGATGACCAAACCTTCAAAGGAAGAAGAAACACTGAAACATGAAGACCAGGGCATTATTTATAAAGAAAATACACACATTAGAACTGAAATGATTAGTGAATAAACTGCTTAGTTGATCAGCCATTCTCTGGTTCCAGTTTCTCAACCATTAACCCATCACTGTGCTCTGAGCTCCAGAGTGTTCATATGCGCCATCAGTCATCAGTACATGTCCATTTCCTCCATACCTTTGTAAACTTACTTCATGGAGTTCATCCTCCAGCTATAATATTCGGTCAGAAGATAAATACTGTATCTGCTGTCTGTTCCCAGTGTTTAAACAAAGCCAGGAAAAAAAGCCTTCAGGTTTTTTTTTTGGCCAAGCCACTTAAAATAGTTTGCAGAGGGAAATCAGATTAACAAATTTAATTTCACTGGCGAAATTCAAGACTCTTGTAAATTCACTAGTTTATGATTCTCCTTCTTGTTGTTTTTCAAAGTAAAATAAAATTTTGCCTAAATGAAATAAATAGCCTGCACCTTAAGCTCAGTATTATCAGAGAAATGTACTTAAAGTATCTTAAAGTAAAAGTACTCACAGCAGAACTGCTCCTTTAGTGGTATCAAATTAAAACTAACATTGTTATTATGATTATTATTATTGCATATGCATACAAGAAAAACTCTGTGATTAGTCAAGGTGGAGCTATTTTAACAGCTGTATCAACACGCTGCACAAGAACACTAAAGCTACTGTTGAGTAAACTAGTATTTCACTAGAAATGTAGCATAATAAGATGAAGATACTCCAGTGTAGCACTGTGATAAACTGCATCCACATCAGTCCAAAGCAAACAACATCTGCACTCGTCGATGGACACACACCTATCGTTAATTCTAGCTCACACAAAAGCTTTAGGAACCTGTCACATCGCCACTCACCCCAACGGGATCCTTAGGAGAGTGCTGGCGTCAGGCTGGTGTAGATCCCAGCGGTACGCAAAGAAGTCGTGCAGCTGGGCCAGTTTCACGTTTCAGCCAAAATCCGCTAATTGCTCTTCTCAGTTCGTCTTCTGGTTAGTTCCTCTCTAGTGCAGCCGGGAAACGTTAGATTCGCACTATTTCTCGGTAAACGTCGTGCTGGAGTCCATGGCACCGCTGCAAACACACTGAGCAGGATACATTGGAGAGTTCGCACTACATGGCTGAAATGGGAAGTCACATTGCTGAGCGGCCGCCCCAAGACGTTTTCACTTGGACTATAAGTTACTTTCAGTTTAATAAACCACGGTTATTTACGTAACCTGTACATTGTATGATATATAATGAGCCCTTTACATTGACGCAGCACCAGAGAATAAGTTACCGGACAACATAACAGCTGGACTATGAAGCCACTGCAGTAAAATCCTGCTCACATAACACAAGGCGAGCCAGCACACACACACACACACACACACACACACTATCTATCTCTCTATCTATCCAGAGATGGGAAGTAAGTAGGTACAATAATGAATCAGTAATTATAATCCAATAATATGATATGCATTCATGTGAAATATTCCACTTTGCATAATGAGTACTTTTACTTTTGGTACTTTAAGTATATTCTGATGCTAATATTGCTGTACTTAAGTAACATTCTGACTGCATGACTTTCACTGATATTTTCTTATAATACTTTTACTTAAGTAAACAATCTTCCACCACTACATCTATCTATTACTTAGAGTACAACAGCAAATTCCACGTTAACAAAAGTCATGTTGGAGAAGGTGTTACTACCCCCAGGCCATTAACAAAGGAAGTCAGACCTTTTCCGCGTTTCATCCCATATAGCAGGATAATGTAACAAACCCCTACACACTCAATATTTGACTTCAGTAGTAGAAAGAACGCCACAAGTGTGTTTGTCCATTGAATTAAACTTAATACAACTGGAAAAACTGAGGCATTCTCAAACTTTTGGCTGACAGTGTATACAGTATATATTCATAGTTTCCTAACTGTACATTAGGGTGTAAAGCTGATACAAAATGCAACATTTGCTGTGAGGGACCAACTGCTTCATCTCCTGCGCAATCTTTGTCATCTCAGGGTTGTGTGTAAGATTCATGCGATAAGGCGTGGGCTGATAAAGTCTGATCATAAAGAAATAAAAGTAGACATGATGAGCAATGCTGTTGTCATAGAAAGATAATAAACTGAGGTGAGATGAGGCTTTCAATTAATAAGTTACCAAAAACTAAAGTTTGACTAACAAACAGGATCACATGCACTCCAATAGCCCAAAGCCTATGAGCATATTTGGTTTGAATTACCCTTTTATGAGCTACAGTGAGACAATAAACCACAAAATACACTGGGACTGTACAGCTCAGGGCAGTGCTGCTTTGACAACACAGCCAAGCAGAGGTTACAAAATACAATTATATGGTATTTTCCGGGTTTTTTAAAATTATCTTCACAGTACTGCCAAGATCCCGACCCCCATGACCCCGTTTGGGACTAAGTGGTTTAAAAAATGGATGGATGGATGGTACTGCCAACATTTATCTGATGTTAAGCCTTAAGATCCATTTTAAGAATAACTTGTCAAAATAGAATTTTAATCCTGATGGGTTAATAAAAGTAAGAATAAGACAGACACATGCACATGTGGAAACTGACCCCCTCACCCCATTCAAAGATGCAGTAGCACCCTGTGTGCGTATGGACGAGACTGGTGGTTATGGGTGCCTCTGTGACAATGGCCCAGCTTAGTTTCTGTGTTTGTGTGGTTTAGATGCCTTCAGTGTGAAGCGCTGACAGAGCAGGTTTCGGATGGATTTACAGTGCTACCTCACAGACAAACAATCAGCTACTTTTATTATTATCGATGAATATGTAAGTTATTAAAGGAAAAGTTCAACATTTTGAAAAGAACACATCTTTGCTTTCTTGCCAAGAATTAGATGAAAAGATCGATACTGCTCCCAAGAGTGTACGGTAAATATGAAGCTACTGCCGGGAATCGGTTATCAAAGACTGAAAACAGCAGGAAACAGCAAGGCAGGCTTTGTCCGAAGAACCAGTTCTGCCTACCAGCCCCTGAAAGCTCACTAATTAACATGTAGCACCTCCTTTGTTTAAACTAGAATTAGACTATTTCCTGGCAGGTGCACTAACAATTCTAGAGTCTTGTCATCACTATGAACACGGCAGGCAACCACGTGAGACCTCATAAGTAACGCCTATTTCCCAAAATATTGGACAATTTCTGTTGTAAATAATGTAGTCAAAACACATGCATTTCCTAAAAACAAATCACAATCACCAACCATCTACTGTGTCAGTCAATTTAAATCCGTTTCAATTCAATGTGAGTTTCAAAACACACATAAAAAACACCCAGTAGGTGATTCATTCAGAGGTCAGTGACACGTCTGCTGTCCACAGAGGTGTATTTGGTCATGTCTTAATAAGTAACTACCCCAACCAAATACTACAAGTAAAAAGACAGTGAGTGCAGTATTTAAGAGTTATTTGAGAGTTAAATTAAAATGAACTGTAAAATCATGTTAGTTGTATATCTGGTTTTACAAAATTCCTACTTATAGTAGAGGCACCTGCTTCACAAAAATCACCCATATGTATTGCAGTATTGGATCATTACACCTCATTTCTAAGTGACATTACACAATTAGAAGAATGTGAAGATGTGATCTGAACACTCCAATGGAGGCAGCATGAGATATTTCTGTTTTTCTGCCCCTTCTCAACAGCATGAAACAAAACTTGTGATAGTTTAGTGACAGTCAAAAGCTCCTTTATGCACTTTATGTTATAAAGGATGCAAAAAAACATGCACAGGGGACACAGGTACTGATTACTTGGCATGATAGCAACAGTATGAGACAGTAAACAAAATGAGATGTGGCACGTCCTTCTATAAACTTTACAGACAGTGTTCTAGTAGATATGTACAATTACAGGTTTTACGCTCCACGGATTTCATAGAAGGCTTTTACAAACTCAGATCCAGGCTCAAAAATAGCAGAGTGACAGAGAGCACAGAGATGAAGGGATAAAGATGAATGGCAAACATCTGTCCCGAGTGAACACTGTAAATTGAAGGACTATATTTTTATAGTAATTAAACAATCATTTAAAACAAAATCAATGAGACCTTTATGGCAGGATCAATATTTGTTTATGTGGCAGTAACTGGAGATATATATTAGGGTTTTCCATTTATACCACACACCTTTTCATTGTCTGATGACTCGGCGAACAGTGCAACAAGTGCTTCCTGCGTAATGTTCCCTTTGTTGCGTTGACACAAACTATTGTTACGATATTAATCAAGTAAATGAAAAGATGGCAGGGCTGTGTAAAAGTCCGACTGATATGATCCATCCGTCCTCCATTCAGGTCTCGGTTCTAACAGTTCTTCCAGTTTAAACTGAGCAGACAACAAGGCTCAGTGTTTGTTATCTCTACATGTCAGTTCCAGTTCCTGGGCAGATTTTCGAGGATCCTGCGTCGGTGTGAAGGGTTCATCACTCCGGCCGCACGAAGATCCTCATCAGTGATGCCACTGTGGAGAGGTGAAATGACACCGAGTCAAACTTGACTAAAATCATCAGACAGTAATCATTTTTATTTTACAATACTGGGAAATGTTTGTCTGGTCTGGTCGTATTTGGAAATTCTGGAGACGTCAGTGTATTTAGTACTTTTTCATTTGCTACACCTTACAGGACTGGGTCACATTTTGTCTTCAGACATTTCTCACACATTTTTGCTTGCTGTATGCACCCGCCCTTTTCAACTGGCCATTAAAATATCCTTCTGATGTACGTCCAATGGAAGTCATGAGGGACAAACCGCCTCCCATTATTTACTGTGGAAGTACATTAGCAAGGGAATAGGAAGAATGAAACAACTGTTTTATGCTCCTATGGGCACCAGACTATTGTTTTAAGACAAACTTAAAAAGCTGTGAGAACATTTGATGATGATTTTACATCAGAATCTGACAGTCATGCTCAGTCATATCCCTCAGATGACCATCAGTGTCACATGCACAGTCATCATTTGGTGAGCTCTTCAACTGACTTATCAATACAAAGGTCATCTCTACAAACAAGTGCACTTTGCTTACATTAACTTGCTGATATAGATATGACTCACTTATTAGGAGTGTTTCAAATGCTTGCATTTATTTATTTTTTTTAATTCTGTTCATGCACCACAGAGTGAAGCAGGAACCAAACAACATGCTGAAAAATAAAGGCAGGGCAGTGAGTGGTGTAAGAATAATGAGGTTTCAGCGATGACAGGCTTAGTGTTACAATGAACACTGAAAATTTCTCAGCAGTAACCACCATGCCTCAGTGATAAAGTCGATGCGTACATGTCCTTACTTTCTGTTCCTGTAGCAGACTTTCGCTTATTTTGTTATACTACACAGCCTTATGTTGGCTTACTGTTTACTTGTCCCTTGCATGGGAACATGTACATGCACACTGAGAGCCGATGTACCAGAGTCAAATTCCTCGTGTGTCCGACACACCTGGCCAATAAAGCTGATTCTGATTCTGATTAAAATACAGAGTGACTATGAAAAGTTGATCTGGCGTCAAGTTTTCTTCCATTCCTTCATTTGCTGAATTTGTAGCAGTAGTAGTAATAATAATAACAATGATAATAATAATAAAATATATAAAGCGCGTTTAAAAACAACAGCCACTGACCAAAGTGCTGTACAAGAATAATAAAAAAAAAAACAGACAAGATAAAAAGCTACAGAGACTAAAATAAGTACAGATACATAAAATAACTGACATTACTACAATAGGAATATAATCTCTAGTAGCCAGGAAAAGCCAGGCAGCAAAGATATGTCTTCAAATGGGATTTTTAAAACAGGGAGAGTAGGAGCCTGACAAATAAAGGCAAGTCATTCCACAGTTTGGGAGCTACTGTGGAAAAAGTGTGATCTCCTCTACTCTTCAGCCTAAATTTAGGGATAACTAGAAGAAGCTGGTCGGCTGACCTGACTGACCTGACCGACCCGGCTGGCCTGTATGGCTGTAGGAGCTGAGAGAGGTAAGGAGGAGCTAATCCATGCAGAGCTTTGGAGACCCTGGTTAGAAATGTGAAGTGTGAAGTGAATTCTAAATTTAACAGAAAGCCAATGTAGGGAAGCCAACAGAGGTGTAATGTGCTCCCACTTCCTTGTTCCAGTTAAAAGACAGGCAGTGGCATTCAAAACAAGCTGCACACTGTTAGACTCAAGTGTTGGTATTAGTATCTTAGCTTGTCACGCTAGGCTGTGGGTTTCTCCTTACATGTCTAAACTCCACATAGACTCCTTCACCTTTGTACAGCTTGTGAACCATGTTATCATGAATCATTTTACCTGAAGTAATCCAAATCATCCCAGCCATTGAGGCTGAGTCCCAGGGTGTATTTCTGAAGACCTAGGGTACTGAGAAGTTCCTGTACGGTCTCTGGTGCACCTTGGAGGACAGACACCTGCAATGAGACAAAGCAGACACAGTTCTTAGAGGCCACCAGTAGTTACATTTTTATGTAAAAACACACTTTGAAACCAAAGTCATACCTCTTTCTCCCAGCTGTAGCCTCTATCTGCATGCATGGAAGGGCCATTTAAATAACACAGTGCCTGGTTGGGTATGGATGGGCTTCTCTTCTCTGTGGGAAAGAAGTCAACTTCGCTGAGGGACTTAGCAATTTGCAAAGCAGTGAGGGAGCTGTCCCCTGTAGGTGGCTGCTGATCCACTATCCAGGGAACAGAGTTCTTACAGTGTATTAAGCGTGTGGGGGAGTACAGGAAAGCAGACGGCGCCTTGGCTGCATGGACAGGATTGGTCCTTTCTGGGAGAAGATGATGCTGATCCCTTCTGTTTTTTTCCCTGATGATTGCTGAGTGGTTCATATACAAGTTCTTCAGGTTCTTCTCAGGCAGTATGGAGTTTTGAAAAATAGTTTTACTTTGATATTTGTCTCTTGGTTGTGATGTCTGTTCCTGGTACTGTGAGAGGGCATTACTTGAGGGTGGAGGTATGGGAGACTGGTTTTTAGCTGGGAAAAGCTGATAAGAGGAGTTGATTTGGGGTATGTGAAGGTCACTGGTTGGATTGTACTGGGGCAGAACGGCTGGAATTTCAATCTCTGTAAAGTCTGATCTACGACAGGGTCTCCGGTCAAAGCCTTGATGTCCTGAGATTTTTGGAAGCTGCAAGGCCTCATTCCCAGACCAGATCACCTGAGGGTCCCTTTGCTGGGGAAGAGCCTCCTCCACTCTGCGTGCTACTGACAAGCCTTCAAAGATGAAGTAGGCTGGGTTGGTGTAGCTGCTGGAAGTTAGTTTGGGAGGAACTGCAGCTGACCTGCAATGAACATACAAGCCTTGATTTTTGTCAGCTAAACTTCATATCAGTGTAAATAAATGTCCTCAATTCCCATGCACTTTGTTCACAACAACAATTAAGAGCTGCTCACCTGTTTACTGGCACCTGTGTAGTTGCAGGAGACATATGTCGCATCCCAGGACATCTATCATCTTTCTCAAAACAGAACCACTCTTTAAAAAAAAGTCAAATCACAGAAAATAAACAAAATATTTTGTAATGAGCAAAATCTGTTGTATGATGCATGTAGGACAAAGACTATGGCAGTTTGTAATTACACAGCATGGCTGTGTTTGTAGTGTGTTATTTTAGTGTCTGACCTGGTGACAGATTACTCATCTGTTCTGTTTCAGTGTCTCAGGATACATCTGGTCAGGGTCAGGGTCAGTCAGGAGCCAAAAGAGGAAGCGGTCGATAGATACCAGCAAGTGTAAAGCCAAGCCAGGCATCATTGAGGAACCAAATAGAGGAAGCAATGTGAGACTCACTGGAGAGTCGAGGAATGCAGTGACAGTGAAGATGAAAGTTTTAGTGGGAAGTGATAGTGCAAGCAAGGCAGAGAGGAGGAAAGGACCAGTTCCAGCTGACCCACCGTAGATCTTCTCCCGCCTTTCTCGCCTATCTTTGGGCACGTGAACCCTGACCCGTCCTCTTATGGAGCCCATCTCCTCGCCTCGGTGACTTAGAAATGTCTCAAACTGCTCTGATGCACCAGTGAGTGAACGCAGAGCCACACAGCATTCACCTATAAAAAAGATATTGCAGATTAAGAATTAGCAAGATTTTCTTAGACCTGGGCACAAACTGTAGTCAGCAAGACTGGAAATTGTTTTCATTTGATTTGGAGCAAAATTCTGTTTATAACACCCAATTTAGTGTCTCACAATTCAGTAACCTGAACATTTTATTGTGAGCACTTTCCTTTTTTTTAAGTATCAAAGTATAAAATAGCTGTCAATGAAACTGTTCCCAAATAGATGTGTCACTAACAAAGAGATGTTGTGGTAAGAGTTTTTTAAAAAACCTTAAGGATACTCATCAGCAAAGTATTAGGAGTGGAGTAAAAATGAATTTGTCCTGTGACCAACCATATGACTCAAACCCATCACATGACTTGACAGACAAGAGCAGGTGCTGATCCTGAAGATACTCCATGTCAGACATGACTGGAAGTAGCTATAACAGATATGAACAAATCACAAGTTAATATTTTGACTGGGAAAAACAAACAATATTTGTAGCAATTCCCATATAGGCCAGACCTCTAACCTTTGGCAGTTGTTTGAAGGACCAGCCTAGTTTGAGAAACCCAGGAACATCACAGCTCTGCGAGTCATTCTCACTTGAGCGCCGTGTCTCTGCAAAGAAAATTATGAATAAATTTCTGCTGCTGTGTTGCACAATGCGTTAGAAATAAATGTGTTTTTGGTATGATACCTTCAAGGCAAGATGAATGAAATTCAATGAAGAACTTCGCCTTGCTTGCCGTCTTCACAATGGCCTCGATGCCTTCGAGCTCTATCCAGGCCCTCTCCATGTTGGCACTTGGATCTGTGCAAGACAAATGCCAAACAATACTGTTCACTTAATGGTGGGATGCAGTCATATTCTATGTGTTTGTGTTCACAGGGCCACAATGACAGCACCTGTTTTGGAGCTTAACTGTGACGTCACTCCCACTTGGAACGTGGCAAAAACAGGTGAGTGATCACTTGTGAAGATGTCATCTGTGCAACCTGGTAAGAGACAAGTCCTTACTTTGTTATTATCATTGCAATAACAACAATAAATATCTTATGTATTGTAACTAAAATGATATAATAGAACTGTGTAAGGCAGCAATATTTTACAAGTGAGACAAATGAGTGATTTAGGAAACCAAAAGTTGCTCTGGAACTGTGCAGTATTTGTTATGGTTTGACAGTTTGCTGAGGCTAATGAGGAACAGAAGCTCAACATGAGTTAAAGGAAATGACTCTATTTCCTTTTGGACCACAGACCAGGATGTAGGGGTTGACTGTTAATTCTGCGGGTTGCTGTCATATGCAGTAGCAATATAAAAGACCACAGAAACCTCATTTGAGAATAATGCATCACATTTCTTGTCAGTGCTAAGTCTTAAGTGCTGCCTTTTGCATTTTGTTTATGTCTTGTGTAACTGTTTGTTCTACTTAGGGCTTTGTTTTTTCAATCTCCAGATCTCACCATAAGTGGTGCAGATGATGTGTGTGTCTGGGTAGGACTTCCACAGAATCCTGTCACACCATGATGGAACATTGACTCGCACCTACAGAAGCAGATTTCAGTTTAGATATACGTACAGTATAAATATGCATTCAGAGTGTATGCAGCGAAGGTGCCATCATTCCTGTTTGCCAGACATTTCTTCTTATGATTGGTTACCTCTTAACCTCCTATTTTTAGTGGTCATTGGAGCTGCTGTCAAAGTCACAGACCCCTTAAATAGGATTAAGTTACCCATAAAAATATTACAAGTGTTGGAATGCTTCTAAAATATTTTCCTTATGGTTGCACTTTGCTGGTACATGTAATATATATATATATTTTTAGCCTCCCAGCCTAAAATAAAATAAACCTTCAGGCTGAAAGTGTATGTGACAACACCAGACAGGAAAACATTTTTATTATTATTATTATTTTTTTTATTAATATTGCAACTAATGGAACAGTGATGGACACACCTGATCAACATTTACATCAAATGATTCCCATCTGGGATCTGATGTAAACAAGACTAAGAGTCTATGGTAGCAGCTCTTTGCGGATGTACTTTAAGATAAATTACCTGGGAACCATGAATGTCTGTACAAAATTTCATGGCAATCGATCAAATGGTTGTTGAGATATTTCAGTCTGGGCCACGGTGGTAACACAACCAACAGATCAATAGTGCCAAACTTAGAGCCACTAGTGGGGCTAATAACCTTGAATTTATCAAAGCATTGCTTCTGTTCGTCCTAATATTTTTGGCAGCTATTCAGAAGTGCTGCACATGAAAGAAGGCACACATTTGTTTTTCAGAGGTGGCTTTGTGTATCAAAAATGACTCACTCCTGAAGTCTTGTACTTTTGCCATAGGTAGCAGTCTCTGGAGCCCCGTTCATACCGATAGGTGGGTGGAAATGCAATCTTCTCTTCCTCTTAACCATGATAAACAAATCAAAATAGCATTTAGTGATACAATAATTGTCCAATATTGTATTTAAAGCTTTCAATACAGGACAACAAACCAAAACTCACTGAAGCTAAAAAAGGCCTTCCTCTTGTGTCTCTCTCGGGTTAGCTGGTCTGCACACATGAGCTCCTCAAACTCTCTTTTAGACACATGTTTCAGGATGTCCTGGAGTCAGCGAAGACCAGAAAAATGCAGTAACATACCGTGACACATTTACTATTAAGCAAGTCTTCAAGGGCGCTCAATCCAAACACAATGCTTTCAAATGAGCAATGAATGACACAGAAACAATAATTGTCTCTCTGACCTGTACATCCAAGTCAAGTCTGTAGTTGAGATCTCCACACCAGAATAGGTGGGTGAAGCGCAGACTGATGTCAAAGACACCGAGCTGTTTATCACCTAGAGAGAGCAGCCTGAGGATGTCCAGAAAGTTCTGGTTCCTCCTGAAGGTTACACACATTGTAGGATCTTTAATACAGCACAGAAATGAAACAGGAGAACACACACTTGGTCTTATTCACACAATGTACCTCAAGACTTTCTCACTTCCAGAGGTCAGGTGGCAGTTAACAAAACCAAAAGATGTTCCATTGAAGAGGAGCGACACCCCAACAGCTCCCTTATTTCCTGAAAGAACAGAAAAACTCAACCTCACACCTCCAGGTTAATAAAACCATATTTTGTTTGTATTAATCATGCATTTACATTTACATCACTATACATTTTCTGTATTTTGTCTTTGTGTATTTGTGATGGCAAGGTCATGCAGGGCATCCTACCTAGTGTGTTCCCCAAGCCAGTCTTTACATTGGCTGTGTTCACGTGGCTGATGCGACTCTCATGCTCCGGCTTTACAAACACAGCCAGCCTCATATTCCAGAGGGACTGTACTGCCACCTACAGGGTGTTATCCCACATTACATCACATAACAAGAACCATACATAAAGTCAGACTTTCTAAAATGTTACCACAACCACTGAAACAGATGGTCATTTTATGAATCAAGACGGTTCTACAACCAGATGAAGTGTTATGACAAAATATCAGAAACTGTCTCAGTCTTCTCCTATAATCTGAGATGCTGCTGAAAGACATTAGTGAATGAGGTGTGTTTTTGAAGAAATGTATAGTGATACTTTCCTACATTTCTAAGGAGTTAGATGGCTTATTAATTATTTTAACAACATTCATCTTGGTTTGGAAGAAAAGTGTCAAATTTATGCAAACGGATTGTGTTACTGGGTATGATTTCACTTTGGGATGTTATCCGTGTATTTTTACATCATATATTAATTCAGCACAAACTTTAAAAGTAACTTTTATTTCTGTAAATATTTTAGCCAAATGGTTATTAAGCAATCATGTTTCAAAAACAAGTTTTAAATGACACGTGTCTGTGAAATTAAATTCCAGTGATTGCACACTGTGTCCTAGCAGCGACACTTTGCTCTACTTTGCTTTAATAACTACAGCCTTCTGAGTTTGTAAATTTGTGAATTTGTCTTCAGTGCCACATAGTAGTTTTATGGATAATGCATCGTGTTAAGACATAAGAATTACAAGCTGAACTTGAAAAAAGTTGGAAAAACAAGAATTACTTGTTTGAAGTCGATGTGAGTATAGCTGCGAAGGGTTGCTTTGATGTGCTCTGTCCACTCTCTCTCCCCCTGAGGGTTTTCTTGGGTCCCCAGAGCATAGATGTCATGTGGCAGCAAGGCGATCGACTCATCAGGGGTATGTCCCAAACCACAGCAGGTCACCCATGACTGCAGGCTGTGAGGAGGAGGGGAGCCACCTGTATAATCAAAACACTTCCATGAATCATCAAAATACCCCTCTCTGACTGCTTCAGGACATTAATGAGTCTTCTGTAAAAGAGTCCGTCATCACATTCATGCTTACCCATATTCCAGGTACCAACAAACACAGAGACCATGTCGGGTTCACTCAGCTGAGAGTGCCTGGTTTTCATCAGCTGGAGGAGTGTGCAGAAGGAGTCACATTTCTGAAAGAAGTAACAGTCACTCAGTGACTTATGGAGAAGAAAACAGTGGATTCCAGTTAGTAATAATAGCTGGTATCTAGTCTTACCCGTGCACTCTCAAATGTCATCTCTCGTGGTATGTTGTGGTGGCTGTCAACAATCATGCGTATCTTGGCTGGACTGCTCTGGAACTTGACAATCTGAAGGACTGATACACACACACACACAAAAACATGCCAACAAGCAATTATACAAAATATCTGCAAGCAAAAGAAATCTTACATGCACTGAAAATTAAATATTGTCTTACTTCTGTCATGTGAGACCCTTTCTATTCCAAATGAACCAGACTTCCGGTCAAAAAGCAGAACTCCTGTGTCCACATCAACAGAAACTGTCTGTCTGCCATACCTCGCCATCTTTACCTGGAAACACAAAGAAAAATAACTGGTGATGCATTTAAACAGTCAGAGATCAGTTGTATGATTTGTTTTTAAAAACACATTGGAACAGAATAACAGGCCATTTACAGAGTTCATTCATTTGTAAGATAAAGCACCTTTTCATCCTGCTTTACCTGGAAGGTATGGACTGGCATCTGTCTGGCTTGGTTCTTTACCGGTGTTATAGTGGCAGGTGTTGGATCAGGAGGGGGTGGGTTAGGCTGCACTGCCAGATTATGGTTGGTCACTGCATCTTGTAGTGCTTTTAATACCTTCATAGGCAGAGAATTTAAAATGTGTCAATTTAACTATTTAACAGTTTGCAATTATCACAAGTATGTGTTTTTATAATCTATGAATGAGAACACCTTCAATCATTTATCTCTGAAAACTGACCACGATGGCTAAGGTTAAAGGATTGTGACAAACATAGATTAGATCAGTATCCAAAAAACAATGAGACTGTATAAAGGCTGGAGAGATCAAAACACACCGGGTGATAAAAGTCTGTTCAGGAATAACATTTGCATTCTGAAAAAATGTATCCTGAATTTAACTCAACAAAAACATACCTTTTTCTCCAGCGAAGTAAGGAGGCTGACCAATGCTGAAATCTTACACAACAAGGTGTCTATCTCCATCTCTGGACCCTTGTTTTAAAGAGACAAAGACAGGTCTGACTTGTTAACATACATGAAGGTTTCAAATCTTACCCAATTTTTATTGCAACCTTTAAAAAAAAAATCAGTTAATCAGTTCATGTTACTTAAAAGATACTGCAGTGTTTGTATTGTACCTGTGCCTTGGTGTGTGTTAAAGAGCAGCTAGGATGATCAAAGACCTTGGCCAGGGTTTCCAGACTTGAGAGAGTCAGGTCAATCTCACTGTAGCACAAATCAGCACATCATACATCAATATATGTACATTTTCCAGAACTGTTTTTGAAAATTAAAACCGAGTACAGATCAACTAGTGCATATACATAGCAAACTATACTATTAATGCCTGACATAACAGTCCATATAACCACTTTGGGTTCATCATTAAGATTCCGAGCAGAATGATGCTGACCTGTTGACACCTCGGCAGGCAGACCACAAAGTGCGCTTGAGGTGGCATAGAGTTGTTGCCCCTTTATGCACATTCTCAATGTCAAGAGGCAGCTCACTGAAGAGGTAGTCATTGAGTAGAGCAATCACCTCACCCGCAGTACTGGAAACAGAATGAAACAGGTCAAAATCAGACTATAATATTTCATAAACTGTGCAAGCTACTTATGCTCTTTGGACATCATCTGAGTAGGGAAATAATTCAGCAGGTACTATACTAAAATGGATTTATAATAAGAAAAAAAGAACTTTAAAATGGACAATGATTTCTGTGGTTTCTCTATGCTTGATTGCTATCACGTACATTTTTAGATAAGAAAATGCTGGTTAGAAGTGAGCATAACAGGTGGCTAACATTAGGCAAATACACAGTCATATCTATAACTTCATCTGATAGTGTCACAGAAAATAAGCGGATCTTAAATAGAACACAGATGTTAAGAAAAGCTAGACATGCAACATAGATGGGCAACCTGCTGGGAACTTCTCTGAAAGACTGTTTTTGGCAAATGATTTCTGTTTTGCATTTAAGTTTAAAAAAAAATCATACTTGGATGGATTCAGCTCATGCAACTTATCCAGGAATAGGCCATGAGCGGCTGCTTTTGCTGGTGGTCCTGTGAAAGCACCTGCATTGACAGAGGCTGGAACTGGAGGTGGCTTTTCATCATCTGTGCATAAATGAAGCATAAACTGACTCTCTAATAATTGGAAATTAATATCTTCTAATGTATACATGATATATTGTAGTGTAATACAGTATATTTTACATGTATTTAAGATGTTGGTGATTTATTTTTCTTGTTTTCTGTGCCTACCAGAGCTCTCATCCCCATTGTCTGTATCCCGAGGAACAGGGTAGAGCAGAGGAATGACCAAGCCTTTGTGGGGATGCTGGTACCCCAACACCAAGTCCTCCAGTGTCCGGAAACAGTTCACTTGCACCCCCTGCGTTGTCTGTGAAAGACATACACAAGAGAGAAAAACAGATAGGTTTAAATCAGTTAAACTCTTCTGTTTCTTCTGATAAATAATTCACTATTACTGTACAATAAGGCAGAGCAATGGCATGATAGGAAAGTGTTTAGCACTGTCGTCTAACAGCGAGAAAGTTCTGGATTCGAGTCCCGGCCGACCCGGGGCCTTTCTGTGTGGGGTCTGCATGTTCTCCCTGTGCCTGTGTGGGTTCTCTCCAGGTACTTTGACTTGCTCCCACAGTCCAAAGACATGCAGCGTAGGCTGACTGTTGACTCTAAATTGTCTATAGGAGTGAGTATGGGTGTGTGTGGTTGTCTGTCTTGAAGTGTCAGCCCTGCAAGACTGGTGACCTGTCCAGGGTGTACCCCGCCTCTTACCCAATGTCAGCTGGGATCGTTAGGATAAGCGGTATAGATAATGGATGGATGGATGGAAAAAGACAGGCTACAGTAATAACATATACATAGATAGCTTTATGGTTGTGTGTGTGTGTGTATGTTCAATCAAATTGTTGTGGCCTCCAGTGCTAAGGCCTCACAAAATTCTCTTTTACCACAACCTCAACATCTTCTTCATTCTCAAACATTTAATCAGGAAATTATGATGAAACTCTTTCATATAAGGTCTTCTGAAATAACCTGGGGAAGACCTCACATACTGGAATTTAAAATGTCTAAATCATGTATTGTATGCATTAAATTGAACCTGAAGTGAAATAACTACCTAGCTATAACTTATATATTTATGATACTGGTTGCTAGTGGACATTTTCACACAGTAACCCACAACCCCACCCCCCTCTACTTTGGAAATTGTGCTTGGTAGAACAGAGCAGAAGCATGTATTTGCATGACAGGCAATCTGCTGATAAAAGACATCCCAAGGGGATTTAGGAAGCCTGGCCTGCACCCCACAGGAGAGGTGACATCACTGAAAGTGACTTCCCGCCTACAGCAGCAGCTGGCTGTCATGTTTCAATGTGGTCCAGCCTTCACAGTCAGTCTAAAAAGCCTCCCAAAGAAACACAGCAAGCACATTCATATATGTTGACACACTCAAGCCGTTAGCACAAGCAAGCTTACACTCAAGCTTTCCACAAAAACCTGCACAGGTACATGTCAGTGGATCTCAAAGCAGTGTAGGCAAAATTAATATGTATAAACACATGTCATGTACTGATGTTGTGAACATATACTCACAGCGCTACCACTCACATGCACAAAATCAACATAGCTCACATTTAACCACAATAGCGAGCAAGCTCTTTCCTGTGCGATCTTTTTTATAAGTTTCTGCTTTCATGTTGTGGTGAAAGAAACCACTTTTTGGCGCAGGATTCCTGTCTGTTTTGCCAGAAACTCTTCAAATAGTATTTTTATACCACAGTGATCTCTTGAAAAGCAGTTAAAAAGAAATGAAAAGGAATAAAAGACAGTTACAGACAAAATGGGCCCCAAAATATCTCAATGGCGCTCTTGGAAAAACATGAAGGCGACCATGCAACTTGTGAGTTAGTGGAGCAAATCCAGTGAGGGAAAATATGTACTGGAGATTTATATTGATGGCAGTGGAAAAACAACTGAAATAGCAATAGAGTTTCAGGCCATCATTTGAAAGCAGAAGATTTTTCCAAGTCAAAGGCTTGAAAATGACTACCAGACAATTGTTATTAAAGTTGTTATGGGACTTTAATATGCAGGCAGTCAAAAAAGGCACAGATGGTTTGGTTTAGGCCCTGAAGATTAATTTCATTCTCTCAGTTTCACTCACCTAGTGTGTGTGTGTGTGTGTGTGTACGTGTGCGCTTATGTGGTTCCAAACTTTGTGCTTGTATGAGTTTCTGTCATCCAATAATTAGGTCAGCTGTTGACTAACTGGCCCTGCTCAGAGTACCAAAAACAGACACGTACCATCAGTGGCTTAGACTCCAACAGACTCATTACTGGCAATACAAACGCCCCTGTACACGCGCATTACAAATATGCACACTCACTGGTCAGTGGCCTAGCGTGTGGGTTGAATATGAATTTTTGAGACATAAAAAAAAAAAAACAATTTCTCCTCTGTGCTGCTGAGCTCATGCTACAAGCATGCAGCCACATGGTAGAGATACCATTCAAACAACAAGGCCACTGCAGCTGTAACAGAGCCTGTACAGAGAGGAAACACAAACTTGTTTCTGTTCTCTTTACACCAGGCAGTGACAAACCATTGTTTGATCCATCTAACTCCATCTGACTGGCTGCGTTTCTCTCTGTGTGTACAGGATTCATGTGGCAGTTGAACACTCACCTGAACAGCTAGAAGGCCGTCTGCTTCGGGAAGTATTCGATAGGTGTGAACATGACGCTGGAACCTTTGAAAGCCAAAAAGTTCAGTTAGACATGTCACTGAAAATTTGTAAAACATGCTTCTGAGCATTCCATGGGAAATACAGTTAAATGTATTGTTTAAATAAAAACCGGGTGTCTATCTGTCATTAAAGACATTGTAATTTTCTCAACAAGGTGCCAATTGTTTCACAGATCACCGATGACGATGTGGCTTGTTGTATTTATACACTTTATGAGAGCCGCTAAGATCATCCTCTCCATTAGTCACTCCAGGCTGTAATGATGAACGGCAGTCTTTATCAGTCAGCTACTGTATATCGCATCAACAAAGGGGAACCATGATAACACGATGACTAAATATAAATCAAAAGTGTGGAGAAATTTAAGACACTAAAAGAGGGGATGAGATGCTGAGAAAGAACGAAGGGAAACAGCTAGAAGCTGGGCTCAGCTTTCAGGAATGCATCTGACTGGGGCTGAAGAGCAGTCAGTGTAGTGCGGTCACTGGAGCTCCCACCCTTTTTCAGGGGCCCCAGGGAAGAAACAGGGGTAAAGAGGGGAAACAGGGAGTCCTGAGCCAGGCTTTGACTGATTGAGATGGACTGTGTTCAGAAGGAACAGTCTGACTAGTCTGGAGACGGTATATGTGTGAAGTTGGCCCAGCCGGTACGCAGCACTTTAAGCCAAAACACTTCCTTAGTTGCCCACTGGCAGATGATGGTGAAAGTGATGGATCTGACAGGGCAAGTAAAGCTGTTGAATCCATTTACAGTTGGGGACATTCTGCAGAAATGTTCAGTTTATGAGTAGTTTCCAGTCCCATATGCCAAAGATCTAAAAATTTCATATGATTAGGTAATTAAGTATGGTTTTACTTAAAGTAGAGCTGCTTTCTGTTTCTTCTCACATAGGGCAGTCCATCAAAACATCGTGAGTCATTCAATAAATATTTTCAAGGAGGTGGAGCACAAAATTAGAAATATAAAGTAACATTCAATAACTTCTGCAGAGTCACATTCCCCTGTATTTTCCTTTCTTTTAAGCTAGGGTCTACACAGCATTATTAATACAAGCTGCACACTTACATTTTTCGTACCAGCATCCAGAACATCTAAAATGTCAAAACACCTTAAAGTACCATCAATAGAGAATTATGTTTAAACTAGATGCTTTCTAAATAGGTGAATGTGTAAATGTGGGTGTATGCTGTATACTCACAGTAGGCACAGTGCATAGGCTCCAGGCACAGACTCACTGTCTCTCACCAGATAGCTGCCATCCCTCCCTGCCCGTGCCAACAAGTCCTCTGCATGCACACGGCTGATGTCACGATGATACCATGCTGCCGTAGCCATGGTAATCAATGTTGAGAGATATATTCATAAAAATAATCCACATGAGGTGATGAACTTGACATAAGGCAAGTTTAGCACAATTTAACTGTATCAGACTTGTTCAGACAGCATCATGCTGGCAGTCTGTCACTCAAGTTGTCAGAGGATGCTGAGTGGTATAGATTAAGAAATTCCCATAATCCTTTTCTTCATGATCAAAGTGTCAAACAGGCATATCAATGCCTTGTCTTTGTTAGTTAAAACTTCCTGGGTCACGCATCCTGTTGAACTGGAAGAAAGAAAAAACATCCAACTGATTGTGAGCCTGCTCCTCAACAAAAACTCCAGTCCATCTTTCTATAAATATCCTCGTGTTTCAGCCCCGTTTCAGCTTTTGGTTGCAAGTTACTGCAGCATGCTACTCAGACACAGACCAGAACAGCAGTGCAAGAGAGGTAGAGAAAAGGGGGTAAAGGCAAAACAACAAGAGGTGGTGCAGAGTCTGAATGAAGCAGCTACCTCTGAGGAACTGACAGTTCCTCTACCTTAACCACTAACACAAGCCCTCCCCTTGTCCCAAAACAAAAAACCCACATACAAACAACACGAAAAGAACAACCACAACGACAGAAAGAAACAAGTCAAGCCGCATAGAAGGCGCCCACACACACTCACACACGCACACAGCAGAGACAGAAGCATACCAGATGGAACTCAGTCAGCACTAAAACCAGACAGGCATGCAACAGAAACCAGACTAATTCAAATGATTTTTCAGTTTTGTTGCCATATAAGGAAATAGGAACACCCTCCAAAAAGTTTAGCTGATAACTGCAGTTGTCTTTGCTTCTTCCAGGCCAAGATTCCATTTAGAGCGTGTCTGCTTGGATGCGGGCTGCTCCAGGGCACTCACTTCCATGCTGGATGGTTGTGTGCTGCTGTGTGTCTTGTCATAAGAGTCCCATCTGCGCTGGTGTGATCTCCAGCAGTTCTCCAGAGTACTGTCAGAGCAGAGGGAGGGAACCAGAGAGGCAGAGGACAACCCTATTAAAGTGCAGGGCAGACACAGGAAGTGACTCGACATTCCAGATGGCGCACATAACCAGGAGAATTCTAGTCAGGACTCAACTTTACCACCCGTGTGTGAAACAGTAGACTGCTTCCTTTCTCTCTTTCTCCCTCTCGTCCCATCTAGTTTCCTCTTCCTCCTTCAGCCCCAGCCCTGAGCTTTTCCTCAGATTCCACACAGAAAACAAAGGTCTCCACTCATGTGGGAGCTGCCTGGCTAATCCTCACTTTGTTCTTTGTTATTTTATCATCTTTATCTTTTGATGTTTTGTCCTCAGGCAGGAATATTTATTGTTTGACCCTTCTTTCTCTTGTCCCAACCTTTTTCCTTTTGCCCCTAAATCTCCTTCACTCTCAACAAAATGCAGCTCCATATGTTTATGTTCATCCCTAACTTTCTTATTTTTGCCCTCCTAGAAACTTTCAACCCTGCTGCGTCCCTCCTTCTCCATTAGCAGGAGCATATAACTCTGTGGTAAATTGTTTTGTC